ATTATATTATAATATATAATTAGTTTTCAAATCTATATATCAATATTTAATTGAGATTCTAAATTTTAAATTGAGGTTTCAATTTTCAAATATAGATTGGGACTTCAATTTTTTTGGGAGTTAGAACTCATACCACTAAACTCATTAGTTTATATTATATTTAAGTTTAGATTCTAATAAATAATATTTTATTAAATTTTTATTAATATTTTTAAGTATATAATGAAAGTAAATAATATTTTATTAAATTTTAATTTTAAAAAATTTAAAACAAAATATCATTTAATAAGTACAAAAATATATAATTGTAAATTACCGAGTACCTATTGGATTAAGTGTCTTTAAGTATCTAGGTAACTATCAAGTTTAAAATGTTATTCTCAAAAATTTTTTAATCAGATATCAAATGTATCGCATACCTAACTTGTACAAAAAAAAACGCTCACTACTAATAGTTATCGAAATGCATTTTTTATTTCCTTAAAAAAATCCCTCTTTTTTTGGCCGTATTGTGCTTACTTAGCAGCTTACATGGCACGATTTAAGCAATGACCTTGATTTCCATCAATCTAACGTACCGTAATTATAAGAAGTAGATGAAATTGATATAATTTTATAAGTTAATAGATTATTTTAATAAAAAATAAAGACTCTAAATTAAAGTGAAAAAGTTCAATAATATATCTATGATTTATTAAATTAAACCCCTACATAATTGGATGACACCTTCATTCTAGGGATTCGTCCCTTCAAACATTATTCTTTTTAAGTTTTTTTTTTTTGTTTTTTATTGATCAATGTTTGGTTTTGTGGATAAATTTAACTAGAGTTGCTTATATATAGAAAAGTATTTTGTAGGATTTTTTTTTATATAGATGACATTCTAAAAATATTGTATTTTGATTAATAGTTTTGAAAATTAATTATTAGAATAAAAGTTATATGTATATAAATTATATATATTAATTTTTATATTAATATAATAAATTTAATAAGTTCATTAATTATATAAAATTTAACACTTTAAAACATATATCACTAAACAAAATTTTGTGATAAAAAAAGTTATAAGTGAAATGATTCAGTAATTCAGATGAAAATGAAAATATTCTTGAGAAGTGCCAATGACTGAACTGTTTCCAAGCGAATTTGAGTCATTTCATGGCATTGGCAGGAAGGTTGCCTTGATAATTTGGTTTACCATTTTGACTTGGGAAGGCTGCTGCCTGCTTTAAATATGAGGTAACTAAAATGTTTATCATTCTATCCGCAACAAAACGCTGTCTTTCTGCTTCCCCTCTCCATTTCTTCTCTCCCTTCGCCCTTTGAATACCTGTTTTT